CCAAAGTTCTAAAAGTATCATTTCGAACTTTATCATATACGCACGATTTCCCCTTGTGTATTAGCTGAATGTACTCTGTAGCAGAAACATGGTAAACTCCAAGAAGATGCTTCCAGACTCTACAGCGCAGAGAATTTGATGCTAGTTTCGATAGATTTTGCTTTTAAGAGAAATAATAATGCTATGAGATCAATAATGTTATGATCGATTATTGCGAAATTATGAAAAATATGTTCAATTGTCTATGCACCTCCTCAGGTAAGCCCTCGGTGAGGATCATTCGTCTGAGCTTTGATAGTGAAGCTCTAACTTCTCTTTCAGTTTTATGAGTTGTATCTAATATTTCCTCAAATGAACTGGATGACTTATCAGCTTGCTGACGTCGCGAGGGTGAAGCTGCGCTTTTATATTTTGTCCATGGAGAAATACTTAGTGACTTTGCTTTAACACACTTGGTCTCTGTTGTAAAAGGCTTGTTACTGGTGTCTCTCAGAGGAACACCGTCTTCCGTATTTGTCATGGAGTGGGAGTATAGGAGGTTTGAGATGGAACGTTTAAAGTATTGTTGATGGGATTGTTGTAATACTAAGTTCGAAGGTTTTTCTTGTAAAGCGCTCCCGTACGGTGACAAGTGAAGTGGATGCGGAAGAAAGATTACAGGTGCCATATCATAAAGAAAGAAAGAATAAATTACAATGGACTCACGAAAAGGTATAATAACAATCAATGTTTAAGAAAACAATGTCTATTTACAGCAGATATTTAATAAAAATACAGTATATTATTTGCGAAGGGTCTATGTCGTTTTTTTAGGAAGGTTTGGATATAGCATTCGTCGTTCCATTTAAGGATTATACTTAAAAGAAATACATATTGTATTCCTTTTTGCATCTGATAGATCGTAACGCCAATGGCTATAAGGAACCACGGTTGTACACGTGATTAGATCATCATTATATTTATTCAACAATGGAATTAAACTAGGAAACACGTTTTTATTAAATGGTAATTTGTTTAGCTTGGACTCTCACGCCTCCGTTCGAAATTAATTTCGAATCCCGGAATTGTTTATCAAAATTTGTTTTATTAAAAAGTTTATTTTATTATACATAATTACTATAAACAATTAATTAATTTAACAATATTACTAAATTAAACTAAATAATAAACTACAGTATATTGTATATGAGTCTACAAAATTTATATGAATTTGATTTTTAGAATTTCAAGTTAATATGATTTATATTTAAATAAATTTTTTAATATAATAAAAAATTTTAAAATTATATATGATTACTTTTAAAAGTTTTATATTTATTTTTTTTTTAATGTTAGCTTGGTCAAGTTTATTAGTGGGGTTTTACTATGTAGATACATTTGATTGAAAAATAAAACAATATCTAGCTAATAAACTAATAATAGATTGAAAAACCATCTCATAATTAAGTCATCTTTAGACAAAGATCTAATAAGAGGAATATTAGTACAATAAAAATTTTAATAAGAGCTGATATATTTGATTCTATATTTGCCACAAATTATAAGGTCTACTTTGAATATTGTATACAATATCCTTCTATTCTATTTACTCTATTTAGAAAAGAAAAATGAAAATAAAACTATACAAACTTAAATAGAGATAAAAATTTTATACTAAAAAAAGGTATTGAAGAAAAAAGGAAGAATGGTTTAATTATAAATGGCTTGAATGCATGCTACTACTACTATATTGGTATTGTAAGCTGGTTATTCTTATCAGTTTAAGACACAATACCTATTACTTTGCTATTTTTAGTATCTTTATATGGGTAGTTATTTTTGAAGGTAATAAAAATATTATTTAAAAAATTTTTGGTGGCCTTTTTTATTTAAAATAATTTAGGTTATTTTTTTTTATTCTGAATTTAAAATATTTATAACTCCATCAATATATAAT